TCTTTTGACCTAAAATTGTTTGTTTGAAATTTTGTGTATACCACCTGGGTGTCAGTGTAGTCTGGAATAGACAATGTACATTTCTATGAGTTAATAACTATACACTGTACACACATGTTTTGAGTAAAATGTCAATAAACATATTGTTCAAAAAAAAAAAAAGAAAATATCAGGTCTCTGTCCTCTAAAGCTGTTTTGGTGAATGAATTAATATCAGACTATGATATTGATTTACTTTGTCTTACTGAGACCTGGTTGTCTCACGAGGAGTATGTTGGCCTAAATGAATCCACCCCCCCAGTCATATTAATACTCACATTCCTCGAGGCACTGGCCGAGGAGGTGGAGTGGCAGCCATATATGATTCGAGCGTTTTAATGGACCCTAAACCTAAACTAAATTATAATTCATTTGAAAGCCTTGTTCTTAGTGTTTCTCACCCATCCTGGAAAACACTGCAGCCAGATCTATTTGTTATAGTGTACCGCGCTCCTGGACCATACTCTGATTTTATATCTGAATTCTCAGAGTTTTTATCAAGTTTAGTCCTTAAATCAGATAAAGTAATTATTGTGGGTGATTTTAATATTCATGTGGATGTTAACAATGACAGCCTTAGTAATGCATTTATATCATTAATAGACTCAATTGCCTTCTGTGTAAATAAACCAACTCATTGTTTTAATCACACTCTTGAACCTCGTTCTTTCATATGGCATTGATATTGAACATTTAATAGTCTTCCCACATAATCCTTTCCTATCTGACCATTATTTAATAACTTTTGAATTCATACTATTAGATTATAAGCCATTAGGCAAAACTTCCTACAGCAGATGTCTATCTGACAGTGCTGTAGCTAAATTTAAGGAGGAGATTCCTTCAGTGTTTAATTCAATGCCATGTCTGAATTTAACAGAATCCTATAACAACTTTAGTCCCTCTGAAATTGATAATCTTGTCGATAGTGCTGCAGGCTCACTACGAAGAACATTAGACTCTATCGCTCCTATAAAAAGGAAATTATTAAAACATAGGAGACTAGCACCGTGGTACAACCACCAAACCCGCCAGTTAAAACAAATTGCTAGGAAATCTGAAAGGAAATGGCGCTCTTCCAAATTATCAGAATATCACTCAATTTGGCAAGATAATCTTAAAACCTATAGAAAGGCCCTTCGTAACAGCTGCAATCTATTTAATTATGCAATAATCTTTTTAATAAAATTATTACTATTTTTCAATTCAATTCAATAAAATTTTATTTGTATAGCGCCAATTCATAACAGAAGTTATCTCAGGACACTTTTCAAATAGAGCAGGTCTAGACCGAACTCTTTAAAACATTATTTACAGAGACCCAACAGTACCACCATGAGCAAGCACTTGGTGACGGGGGCAAGGAAAAACTGCCTTTTAAGAGGCAGAAACCTAGGACAGATCCTTCGGCTCTAGGTGGGTGGTCGTCTGCCTCGACAAGTTGGGATGAGAGCGAGAGAGAGAGAGAGAGAGAGAGACAGACAGAAAGACGCACAGCAACAACAGCAGCAAAAACTACACTAATAGTAGTGACTGATGATGATGAACATGAAGAAGATGATGGCGGCGACGACAACGATGGGGGACAATGAGCAGTGACAATAGTAGCACCGTGGTACAACAACCAAACCCGCCAGTTAAAGCAAAAAGCTAGGAAATCTGACAGGAAATGGCGCTCTTCCAAAATATCAGAATATCGCTCAATTTGGCAAGATAATCTTAAAATGTATAGAAAGGCCCTCCGTAATGCCAGAGGAGCCTATTACTCAGCACTAATAGAAGAAAATAAGAATAACCCTAGGTTCCTCTTCAGCACTGTAGCCAGGCTGACAGAGAGTCACAGCTCTATTGAGCCACATATTCCCATAAACTTAAGTAGCAATGACTTCATGAGCTTCTTTTATAATAAAATCATTACTATTAGAGAGAAAATAAATCACCAACTGCCATCAACAGTTATCAGTGGCTCTCCAAGTTCAGGAACTTTAACTAATGTAAACTCAGATATATATTTAGACTGTTTTTCTGCTATCAATCTTCATCAGTTAACTTCAATAATTTCTACATCGAAGCCATCAACCTGTCTATTAGACCTGATCCCAACTAGGCTGCTTAAAGAAGTTGTTCCCTTAATTGGCACTTCTTTACTAGATATGATTAATCTTTCTTTATTATCAGGATATGTACCACAGTCCTTTAAAGTAGCTGTAATTAAACCCCTTCTTAAAAAGCCCACTATTTACCCAGGGGTTTTAGCCAACTATAGACCGATTTCTAACCTCCCCTTCCTCTCTAAGATTCTGGAGAAAGTAGTCACCAAACAGTTGTGTGTCTTTTTACATAACAATAGTTTATTTGAGGATTTTCAGTCAGGATTTAGAGTCCATCATAGCACAGAGACAGCTCTGGTTAAAGTTAATAATGACCTTCTGATTGCTTCTGACAAGGGACTTGTCTCTGTACTTGTATTATTAGATGTTAGTGCTGCATTTGACACCATTGTCCATGATATTCTTTTACAGAGACTTGAGCATCAAATTGGCATTAAAGGAACCGCACTAAGCTGGTTTAAGTCATATTTATCAGATTGTTTGCAGTTTGTACATGTTAACGATGAATCATCAATAAATACTACAGTTAGTCATGGAGTTCCACAAGGTTCTGTACTTAGACCAATACTATTTACTTTATATATGCTCCCTTTAGGCAACATTATTAGAAATCACTCCATTAACTTTCACTGTTATGCAGATGAAACGCAGTTATATCTATCAATCAAGCCCAATGAAATTAATCAATTATCTAAATTACAAACATGTCTTAAGGACATAAAATCCTGGATGAGCTGCAATTTTATGATGTTAAACTCTTGTTTTCTTGTTCTTGGCCCGAAAAACCTTAGAGACTCACTGTCTAAAGATATAGTTACTCTAGATGGTATTAACTTGGCCTCTAGCACCACTGTCAGGAATCCTGGAGTTATCTTTGATCAGGATTTGTTATTTAAATCCCACATAAAGCAAACCTCCAGGACTGCCTTCTTTCATTCACGTAATAATACAAAAATTAGACACATCCTATCACAGACAGATGCAGAAAAACTAATGCATTTGTTACTTCTAGGCTGGATTACTGCAACTCTTTATTATCAGGCTGCCCCAATAAGTCCATTAAAACGCTCCAATTAATTCAGAACGCTGCAGCACGAGTACTGACAGGAACTAGAAAAAGAGATCACATCTCTCCTGTACTACCTTCTCTGCACTGGCTCCCTGTAAAATGTAGAATAGAATTTAAAATCCTCCTCCTCACCTACAAAGCTCTTCATAGACAGGCCCCTTCATATCTTAAAGAGCTCATAGTACCCTATTACCCCACTAGAACACTACGTTCTCTGAATGCTGGGCTACTTGTGGTTCCTATAGTCTCTAAAAGTAGAACAGGAGCCAGAGCCTTCAGTTACCAAGCTCCTCTCCTGTGGAACCAGCTTCTAGTTGTGGTTCGGGAGGCAGACACCCTCACCACGTTCAAGAGTAGGCTTAAGACATTCCTCTTTGATAAAGCTTATAGTTAGGGCTGGATCAGGTGAGTCCTGAACCATCCCTTAGTTATGCTGCTATAGGCCTAGACTATTGGGGGATTTCCCATGGTGCACTGAGCTCCTCTCTTCCTCTCTCTTTCTGCACTCATTCATGTCCCATTAATGCATGTTACTAACTTCACTTCTTCCCCGGAGTTCCTGTGATTTCTCATCTCGCAGGTTCTTATCGATCCTGGTGGAGCCTCCTGCCATGGTCCTGTTTGACTGCCATTGCCAATACTGTTGTTGCTGTGCACCTGTCTGTCTGTCTGTCTGTCCTTTTGTCTCTCTCTCTCTCTTTCTCTCTCTCTCTCTCTCACCCCAACTGGTCGAGGCAGACGACCACCCACCTAGAACCGAAGGATCTGTCCTAGGTTTCTGCCTTTTAGTTTTTCCTTGCCCTTGTCGCCAAGTGCTTGCTCATGGTGGTACTGTTGGGTTTCTGTAAATAATGTTATAAGGAGTTCGGTCTAGATCTGCTCTATTTGAAAAGTATCCTGTGATAACTTTTGTTATGAATTGGCGCTATACAAATAAAATTGAATTGAAAAATAGTAATAATTTTATTAAAAAGATTATTGCATAATTAAATAGATTGCAGCTGTGGGGCAGTCATTGTCATGTCCAAGTCCTTAGCTTTGTGTTCCAAGTCATAAATAGGTCCTTATGCACACTGATTTTTATTTTTCTGATTATCAGTTATTTCAGAAACTTTACACTATCACATAATTTTTAGAATCTTTGTTTATCACTTTAAAACAAAACCTTTTAAAATCAAACTGACAGGAAAATAGACAATAAAGCAGGGTATGCTTTAGGGCGTGGCTACATTGTGATTGACAAGTCATTCTCAGTGAGTCCGTCCAGCTCAACGCACCAAACTCAGATCAAACTGTCAAACTAGACAGAGCTGATCAAATATGAATCAAGATTCCATTTCCTATTTTAGTGTGCTGTCTCTTGTATATCTGTAATAGAAGAACGTGTGTGACCAGGAGAGCCGCCATTGTTTCCCACTATGGACAAGTCAAAACTGCGCCACAGTTGGCTGCCTAAAACCGACATAGCAACGACCATAATGCCAAACTCGAGGTTCCAAAACGGTACTCCATAAACCAATGGTTCTGATTCAAGGGTTCTCTTTTACTTAACCTGTGTGTGATAACAACTAAAAACAGCATGTTCTGTGCATATAATAAATGTAGTATATGCCATGACATTAATTCATACATTTTCCTTCTACAGTTGAAAATATAGTCAGCGACATGTGATGCTGATGCAGCACACATTTAAAAGACTGATCCCTCTTAGTCATATAAAGCAGATTAAATACTTGAAGTCATTCAATACAGCTCAGATTTCCTTTCGCTTTTTTTGTCTCATGAAAAGCTTTTAATGATCTTTAAGAGCAAAAGCATGAATTAGTGGAAGTAAGCAGCAAGCAGGCTCCGTTAGTAGGTGCTGTGTGCTTCTGTTACAGCACACAAATACCTATTTACACATACAAATGTCAGTTTAATGTTAATCAATAGCAACACCAAACAATCAAATACAAAGCCAAGTCAGAGGGTGTGTTTCAGTCCAGTCCCATTGTTCCAGGCTTGACTGACAGCTGTCCTAGTATTTGACACTTCACACTGATTTCCTCCTCTTGCCAAAGACGTTGTTGATGAGTTTGACCATGGACTTGGAACCGCTGGGGCGTCTCCTGCGCTCCTTGGCCTTGCTGCCCAGGCTAGCGTTTTGCACCATCTTGAAGAATATGAGGGCCACCTCCTGGTAGTGGTCAGCTGCCGACAGCTCGTAGAACTGGCAGTGAAACTCAGCAGCCAGACACTGACCTTCGTCACACCGCACCTCTCTCATGTGGCAAAGGTCCTGTTTGTTACCCACTAAAAATATGAATGAGTCCACATCCCTGTAGGTCAAAAGCAGAGCAGGGACACACGATCTTTGTAAACTGAAATATGGTGGTTTTCACAGGTTCTGTTAACATGCATGCAAAAGCCATTATTATGTTATAGTCATCTTAGCCCATACCTTTTGGCAGTTCCCAGGTGTGGCTCTCTGATGAGGTGGACTATGGCTTTGGCAGTAAGGAAGGATGAGCGGTCACTGATATCATAGACCACAACAAAACCATCAGCCCAGTGGATCTGGTTGTTTAAAGTAGACTTACCCTCACAAGACTGGAAAATAGAGAAAACAAAAGGCACACTAGGTAAGATTTAGAGCCTCATACAAGCAAAATCCTATCATCTGTTAAGACCAACTAGAAGTGGGTGAAAGTGGTATTTCTAAAACACTGCGTAGAGTAACTGCGTCAAGAGAATTAGAGTTATGTTGTGTTTCAGGTACTGGCACCTTTTCTGGTCTAATTCAGGCACTGTACATACAGACATTTTATAGTACCTCACATACAGTTTAGGAAGGGCTGGAATACATAAACCAAGGTGTGAACATTAACAAAAAGATTTAGAGTTTGTGGTGGTAAAGTGGCACTAAGACGGCCTTGCTGTTCCTGTGCTTTAATTTAGATTAATGGACACAAGACTCAGGCTGGATGCAGTGGTTCAGCCAAGGACAGCCCCATGCTTGACTGGTTCTCTAAAAATAAGATGGATGATACTGACTGGCTTTTGCTTTACACTTATTCGGCCCTAAGGTCTTGGGCCAACAGACTGTGTGGCCGTCTCTACCTGCTATTTTGGTTCATGTTTGTGCAGCAGCACAAAGTGCAAATGGGTTGAGAGAGCAGGACATAGTGGGAAGGGAGCAGACCCTATGCAGCCTGTGTGGAGTCTGCTTCCTGGGGCCAGTACTGTAATGTCAATAGAGTCTGAGTGTTTCTTAAAACATCAGCCACTTTTGGAAAATGTATGTGAGCCTTGATAATCTCAAATTATAACCAACAGGTCTTATGTAGCATCCTGGTATCATTTTCTATTCAGAACCAATTTTAATTTACAATAATGACAGCAACAGGAGGCTGGATTAGGCAACTCTTTATTATCAGGTTGCCCATAATAAGTCCATTAAGACACTACAATTAATTCAGAACGCTGCTGCTGTTGAATTGAATTGAAGAATGGTGCAGAGAAAATCTGGTGAGGATGCATTTGTATGCGGACAACTGAATTCTCCGGCTGGTATGTGACGAAACTCCGAGTTGAGCAGTGCTTTGTTTAACCCTTTCAAAATGGCAGCTGGCTCAGAAACGTTTAGATATTACAGCTTAACAGTACACTAAAATATGTTTTGAAAACATTTAAGTCAAAAAAACAGCCGAATTGGTTAACATGGGCGCCTAAGACAGAGCGCACTGCAGTGTAGAGTGTAACTCCGCGGCTCGCTCGCAATCTGCAGCAATAGTTATGGCATCTGTTTTTTTCACAAGCCACAAGCTAGTATGGAAGGAAAACACCCTGATAATCTATAACCAATGACATAAATTATCCTGATACATGAAATGAAAATAAATGTACTATGCATCCCATGCTTGCCAACCCAAAAGATCAGATCAGCTGTGTGATTAGGAAAGGGAAAATCCAACACTTCATCCCTCAGTAACTCACCAAGTAAGTCACAGGGCCCTATCTTGCCGATCTGAAACGCAAGTATCAAACGCAAAACGCAAGTAGCTTTGTGGGTGGATTTCGGGCGCTGTTGCTATAATCCCGGCGGGTTAAATGACTCTTGCGCCCAGCGCAAATCTAAAATGGGTTGGTCTGAAGTAGCTACATTAGTCATAGGTGTGGTTTGGGCGTAACATGCAATAAACCAATCAGAGCGTCATCTCACATTCCCTTTAAAAGCAGGCACGCTTGTTCCATGGCGGATTACTATTATAACGGCGGATTGGCCAGGCGCACACCAGGAGCGGTTCACAGCCAAGGAGACCGACGTTCTCGTCAGGGCCATGAAATACCGAGAAGTGACATTATTGACATGAAATAAATGTAACACAGCCATACAATAAATCCAAACAATGTAACGCAGCTTCGCAGAGGGAAGACCCTGGCCTTGGGAGCAGTGCGCAAGGACCAGCTGAGGAGGGAGCAGCGCAAACACCAAGGTGCAGAGGATCCAGACCCACTACACGCCGGAGGACCACCCGTTCCTGCAGCAAACCGGGTTTGACATGCTGGAGCGGGAGCTGTCCGGGATGCGGCAAAGTATTAATGCCCGTCTTGACCGGGTGGCGATGTTGCTGCTGCCTCTCAGGCACATCCCCTCAAGTCTGCGCCCTTGAAATAACATCTGAATAAGCGCCACTGACTTTAGACTAGGTTTTTCCTGGTCTGTGGCGGAATTGTTTTCTGAAACAGCAAAATAGCACCAGGGAACGTTTGCGCCGGAACACGCCTCCTCTTTTCGCTGAACCACCCCCCGGAGTGCAAGTTCATTCCCTAATTTAAGGACGTGCGTCGGTGGAGGGAAAATTCCAATGTGCGTCGAGTGCAAAATAGGAATTATACAAGCGCCAGTGTACAAAGCCCACAGAGCCCACAGACTTTCCTGTTCATAAAATCTCAGTTAAACTTGGAGATAAGTGGCACAGGTGGATGTGCTGTCCAGGACTATGCCACCGTGCCACCTCTTTGTAATAAAGAGATCTAGTAAACTAACCTGAGAGCAAGGGTCATAGAGCTCAAGATTAATCTGCCTCCCATCCACAGACAGACGCTTCCTGTATATGCACTCTGGAAGAAAAAGGGAAGACAGCAGTCAGAGAAAAGCATCATGAAACAACTCACTTCTGCCTTAGCTCCCTGCTTACACAAAATTCCTTAAAAAAGTAAAATAATGAGATTAAAAAATAACAGAGAAAACACGATTAAAAGTACAATTGTCAGTTGTTAGTCAGTTCAGTCAGTGTTTTCTATAATAAACACATTATGCAGAGAATTATGTGACCAGATTATATAATTATAATCTCTCTAATGGCTGTGGTGAAAATTCAGCACATTTGTACATTACCAAGTTGATTCTAAAATAGTCAATATTGACTAAGCCAGCAACAGGGAGGTTTCGGACTTCTTCGTCTGGTGGGACCAGGCTAAAAGCTGATCGCACCCAGCCGAGTAACCCAGTCCATGTGTGTCAGGTGAACCACACACACACACACACACACACACAAACACACACACACACACACACACACACACACACACACACACACACATATATATATATATGGGATTTAGAGATTTAAAACATCAACAGCAAACAACTATTAGCTGTGTAAAGATATAGAGGAGTCATGGTGTCCTGAGCAGGGAATGAAGTCACACTCCCTCTGCCTTTGTTGCCATTGCAGCTTCTCCGTGGTTTGTTTACAGAGGAGGTCTGGCAGTGCGTGCATGTTAGTGCATGTTAGTCCCTCTGTTTACAACTGAGAAAAACGACTGAAACTGCTGTTTTTTTCATCTACATCTGTGAATTAAGGATTTTTTCCCGCCAAACTAGAGCTGTGATTGTTGGAACAGTGGAAAGACTAACAAAGATGGTTTTGGTGAGTTCATTTTGTTTCTGTCCACTTTGAATTAAATAACAATATTACGACGATATCCAAGGTCAAATTACCGTATTTGTAAATGGTAAACGGTAAATGGTGAATGAACCTGTACTTGTATAGCGCCTTTCTAGTTTCTCGACCACTCAAAGCGCTTTTACACTATGTGCCACATTCACCCTTTCACACACATTCACTCAGTGATAGCAATGCCCATACACATTTGTCTATGGAGTCTGGTGGTAAGCTATAGTGATATTACAGCTGTTTCAGGTTAAATAAAAAGGTCTATCTCTGCAGAGATCCTTTCCATAATGTTGTAAGACACTAAAGACCCGAGCCTGTCAGTGGCAAAAACTTTTACTTTGACAAGCTCCTTTGTCCCAGAGGATTAATGTTAGCTTACATGGCAGCCATAACAGCCTGTTTCGTGGCTATTTTCTGTGAATTAAATTTTATTTTTAACAAACCAGAGTTGGTAATTGTTGAAAAGATTAACAAAGAGTTAACTGGAGTTATTTGGTGATTTTTTTTTTATTCTTTCCAGTTCGAAGTGTATTTTATGAATATATGCTATGCATTGTTTTGAAACAGGATGCTGGTGTATGGAGCTATTATTGTAGCAAAACTATTTACAAATGTGTGTGGAGAGTTGTGTATATGTTATGTATAATTGGCTGTCTTTTTACACGTGACTTTTTCTACACTTCTACCGTGGTCTGTCAATCAAAAGGTAGCCCCGCCCAAAAGCACATGCGGCTTTAATTAATTGCAAGGTCCCTCTTGCCATGAACTTAATTCTTACTGAAACTTAATCCCAAAAAATGTCCACTGCAAGAAAGCTTCAGAGCACCCAAGAAAGTCCAGCAAGCGCCAGGACGGTCTCCTAAAGTTAATTCAGCTGCGGGATCCGGGCAGTGCAGGGCTTGCTCAGGAATGGCAGCAGGCAGGTGTGAGTTCATCTGCCTGCACTGAGGCGAAGACTTTTGGAGGATGGCCTTGTGTCAAGAAGGGCAGCAAATAACCCACTTCTCTCCAGGAAAACCATCAGGGACAAACTGATATTCTGCAAAAGTTAGGGATTGGAGTGCTGAGGACTGGGGTAAAGTCATTTTCTATGATGAATCCCCTTTCCGATTTTTTGGGGCATCTGGAAAAAAGCTTGTCTGGAGAAGAAAAAGTGAGCGCTACCATCAGTCCTGTGTCATGCCAACAGTAAAGCATTCTGAGACCATTCATGTGTGGGGTTGCTTCTCAGCCAAAGTAGTGGACTCACTCACAATTTTGCCTAAGAACATAGCCATGAATAAAGAATGAAGCCAAAGGGTAAGTTGAGCCACCCCTTGTTGCTAGGAAATGGTAAAAAACATTGATCATGTGACCAAATATTTAGGAGGAAGGCATCATTTCATGGAGTCTGTGAATGTAAGAACCACATGGGTAAAGTGGTTAGATATTTATTTCCAAAAAATCATTTTTCACTCCTGAAAGTGAATTTAGTTTTAGTTTAAATTCACTTTTCAATTAGTGAATTTTAATTTAGTTTCATGAGAATTGTGTTTGGACCAAAATAGATCATTTAAAATTTGTTTTATACATCAATTGTGGTATCTATGAGCTACAACATGAGGTCATAAACCTAGCATAAAAGTGCACAATTTTTAGCTGTGGGGACTAATAAAGTCAAAATGGTAGCTCTGGGGTAAGTTGAGCCATTTGGCCAGGGGTAAGTTGAGCCGGTGGCCACAGCCAAAATGCACTCAATAAGTGTATCCAAAAAACATATTCTGCATATATTGCAAAAACACAGCTGTTAATGTTCTCTTCCTAAGGCATTCTCATGTTAAAAAGTAGGGATACGGCTCAACTTACCCCGCTCCTATGCTCAACTTACCCCGTGTGTGGGCTAAGTTGAGCCACAAGACCACTTTTTTTGGACATGCTATATTATCACAACAGTAAGGTTTACACTCATTCTGTTTGTTTGAAGGGATGCACAACATCCTGAAATATATGCAGATATATTAGTTAGCGAAAAAACTATGATTGCCTTGATGTAGTGATCCAAAATATGAGAAATGGGTGATCTTACCCCACTCTCCCCTATATCTTCCAGCAGATTGACCAGATCCAGCTGAAATTCTGTCAGAACTCCCTTAGGACGATGACCATGACGTCTTATGAATCTTAAGAATTTTTGTAGAACCACGTTGCCATAGCAACACGGCGAAAATCTGCTTTTATGTTAACAATTGATCAATATTTGGGGGGCTAAACATGCCTGACAACTCATAAAACTTTGCACAAAATTTTAGTCGTGGTGAACGCTAACATATTGTCTTAATCCCACAGATGGGAATCGCAAAATGGTTCAGCTACACCCCCCAAATCAGCCCCCAAGACACGTATGACCGACATGTTGGTATGCATGTGTATCATGATTGGACAAGCAAAAAAGCCTGTTGGACCCATAACCCAAACCCAACAGGAAGTCAGCCATTTTGAATTTCGTCATTTTTGGCGTTTTTTCGCGTTATATTTGAACAAACTCCACCGAGAGAATTTCTCGGAATAGCTTCAAAATTGGTCAGTACAGTTAAAAGATTTTGCTGATTAAACGCTATTTGTGCATGTACGTTGAGGGCACTTTCGTGGCGTGGCGTCGAAGTCAGCCATTTTTAATTTTGCGGTAATTTTCTGCGATTTTCTGTGTTGTATTTAAACAAACTCCTCCTAGGGAATTTATTGTATCAACTTCAAAATTTATCAGTTCAGTCAAAAAACATTGCTGATTAAAAGTTGTGCCTTTGTGACTGTATGTTGAAGGACGTGTCCGTGGTGTGGCGTCAAAGTCAGCCATTTTGCATTTTGGGGCGATTTTTCACGTTTTATTTGAACGAATTCCTCCTAGGGAATATATCAGATCAACTTCAAAATTAAGTCAGTACAATTAAAACAAACTGCAGATGAAACGTGCTATTTGTGACTGTACGTCCAACGGCGTGCCTGTGGTGTTGCGTTTGATTTTTGACGATTCGCCATAAAACAGATCATGTACTTCAGTGTACAATGTAACCGAACAGTCCCACCCTGAACACGTCCTCATAACTTCAGAGTACATGCAGTGTCCAATCTCAATGAAACTTCACATAGCTCATGAGAGTCCCGCCCTGAACACGTCTACATGACTATATTCAGATATAGTGATAGCGCCACCTACTGGCAACAGGAAGTTACGATTTTGATCTGATTTGCATGAAATTTGAATTTGTGGTCCGCATATGTGACGTGGCCACAGCACACCCCGACGCGTGCTGAGTGCGAGGGCCTGTTTATCACTGCTGCAGTTTTCATTACAGATTATTTTACACATTCACAGATCTGATTACGCACACACAGATTAAGATACAGTTACACAACTCTCCACACACATTTGTAAATAGTTTTGCTACAATAATAGCTCCATACTGGTGCTCTACTGCAACATCTAGTGGCAAGTGATTCATATATATATTCTTTAAGAATAAATGCAAAAAAATATATATTTAGATATGATATGTTAAATGGTTGCTTTTTTAAGATTTGCTGTTCATTCACCCACTTACACTCTAACACACACAGATGGCAGCAAACATGCAAGGTGCTACTCTGATTGGAAGCAGTTTGAGGGTCCATTATGCCCAAGGGAAGCAAATGTTATTAGATCTTTGAACTTGACATTGGAAATATATAAAATACTTACATTCATTAATGTTGGGATACATTTATTTGAAAAATGATTTTATATTTATTAAAATTGGTTGGTATATATTTGTTGTTTAAAAACACATTTGTCACCAATATTGAGACTAATTTCTCTCCATGAGCACACACCTCACACAATATCTTTCCCTTACTCACTGAGAGTGCTGAAAGCTAAGATGAAACTAGATTATTCTCAGGGGAACAATGGCCTATTGAGCCACTATCTAAGACTAATATGAGTCATTCCCCTTGCAGGTCAGGTAGCCTTTCAAGGAGGCAGCATAATGCAATCATTACAGCATGGCTCTTCAGACCAGCTATTGGCAAACAATAAAGCCTGTGCTCTTAATACTGAGTTGCAGTCCATTTGACACAAACATTTTAATAATCTTTGGGTGCAAAGATGTAGACATGTAGTTAAAGGCTTGGTAGTTGGCTTAGCCATGAAGAGTACATAACATAAGAGAGCATATACAAGAAACTCAGATAGAGGACTTGGATGGAGCTACATAATGTATAGAGAGCTGAAACCAGCCACCAAAGACGGACATATTCCAAATAGTGGCGTTTTACAGGCCACGCACATAAACAGACAAGAAGCTAAAAATAATCTATGCATATGCAGATTAAAAAAATTATATAAGCAGGTATAAATCAACAAATTTTACCAAAAACTATGATTTACATCAGGAGTTTTGATCAAAGAATTAGAGCAGCACAATGAACTGAAATCGCAATATGTCCAAAATGTGTGACTAACAGCAGTTTTCTAAATTTAAGAGAAGATTTTGTACAGACCCCAGTGTCACATCATCAGGATTTCAATAGTTTTTTCAGTAAAGATTACATTTCAAATGCAAAAATGATAATTCCCACCCTAATCATGAATCATATCATACAGAATAATGAGACACATAACACACAGTATTTTGACTTAATAATGACTTAGTATCACTATATTTTCGTCACATTGGCGGAAATGGGCTTCCATATGTTCCCAATCTTAAAGCTTCTTAAGGGAAAATAAAAGCATTATAGAGGGTTAAAATTAAGTCAGATGTCACTATTCTATGTTCACATGTGTAATGAACTTGTGAGCAGTTACATCATTTGTAATCTTTAAGGAACCATGTTTACGTCAAGATTTAACAGTGGAAGTCCCTCATTAAGCCCACTGCTGTCTACAGCCACAGAGGCAGGTGCACATATCTGATTACAGTGTTTTTAAGAGACTCATAATTACCTGAGGAAGAAGCATACTCGCCGATAAAGCGCCTTGTGAGGAACCGGACGATGAGAGCTGCAGACAGACAGACAGACAGACAGACAGGTGAGGTCGTTGTTCATAACCGACGTTCAACAACCTGTTCCTGATCCACGGCTGTTACCTGATTTTCCGACACCTTCACTGCCCAGCACAGCGATCTTGATCTCATTCATGTTCGCTGAAGTCAGAAATATCCCTCATGTATCATGCTCTGTAGAGCTGAGGAGGGACACAGCTGGGTGGGAGTCTCCGTCCTCAGAGCTGATGGGCTGCCCGGTGGGCGGCCCCTCCAGGGGCGGCACAACGGAGGAGGCGGGGCACCTTGGGGCACCTCCACCCAGACATGTAAGGATAATTCTTCAATGACAGCATTTCATTTCTATGGAAGGTATGGAAGCCCATTTCTGCCAGTATGACGGGAAAAAAATGATTCTGTAAGTTATTATTTTGAGAAAGTTTCTCATCATAATGACTTACAGATTTTTTTTGAAGAAAAGGCTATGAAATAATCCAAATCACTTGTTTTACACAAAGTTCTTGTAGTTACTTAGTTCATTATTTGGGTTAATTGTCCATTTTTTTAATTTTTTTTAAAAAAAAAGTATTTTTGGGGGCTTTTATTGCCTTTATGATAGTGACAGCTGAAGATAGACAGGAAGGTGGGGCAGAGAGAGGGGATGACACGCAGCAAGGGGCCGCAGGTCAGACTCGATCCCTGGGCTGCTGCAGCAAGGACTCAATATGAAACAAGCATAAAATATGTCACTTCGTCAGGGGTCGTCAGAAGGCCTACCAACAGCCACTTTTTGATATCGGCACTACTGTGTTACGTTGTCCATGAAAAAACTAAAGTCGTGCTTGCTTAACACACATCACACACTGTCACTCAAAACCTCATAATGGGACACAGGCCTGAAAAAAACACCTCCATAGAGGTTTGTGTCAGAACTACAAACAAAAAGTGAGGTAGCATGTGAGACAGCTGCGAACTGTAAACAAAAGGACATATTATCAGATATATTATATATATATATATATTATATATTATCATAAGAGTCCAGTAGTTTAACATTAATAAATTGTATTAACAAATAAACACATCCTTCATTGTGGTAATAATAAAACTCTAATGTGCAGTTTGTCATTATTTTATTTTTTTATTTTTATTCAAATAAAATTAAAGGTCCAGTGAATGATTTAGTGGCATCAGCAGTTACTGATGAGACTACAACTCACTTCACCCACCCCAGTGAGAAACTAAAGTGGCCGTGAAACACAGAAAAAACACAAGTGGCTCCATCTACAGCCAGTGTTTAGGTTGTCCCTTCTGGGCTACTGTAGAAACATGGTAGTTCAACATTGCGACGTCCATGGAAGGTGACCCGCTGTGTCTGTAGATATAAACTCATTCTAAGGGGACAAAGACATAATGATTCTTATTTTTAGGTGATGATACAATGAAAAAGTACCTTAACCATCAGCTTTACATGATGGCTAGATTGAAATTAAATGGTAAATGTAAATGGACCTGTACCTGTATAGCGCCTTTCTAGTCTTCTGACCACTCAAAGCGCTTTTACACTACGTGCCACATTTACCCTTTCACACACATTCACTCAGTGATGGCAAAGTCCATCGAACAGAAACTAACATTCATACACATTCACACACCGATGCATGGCATCGGGAGCAATTTGGGGTTCAGTATCTTGCTCAAGGATACTTTGACATGTGGCAGGAGGAGCTGGGGGATGACCTGCTCTGCCTCTGAGCCACAGCCACCCTTGAGCTGCTGATATTCATGGACTCCAGAGGAGGTGACCTTAGCTTTCCCTCTAGTATCACTGTTAATTACAATGAATACATTTTCATTTTCCTACAAGATATGTGATAAAACAGGCCCAGTGGACACCCCGGGCAGCAAATCTCATACGCTGATTGTCATTGCATTTACTCAGCACAGTGTGTTCCCAGAGACAGCCTTCCAGGAACATAAAAAACAAAACAATCATCAATAAATTTTGTCTTAATAACTTTGATGTAGTGGGGTGTAATCAATGAACACTGCAGCCTCTTAATGCGTGCATAAACAATGTACTTTGTGTGTACCTGGAGGGTTAAAATGTATATCCACCAGGGCACAGACTCTAACCATAGTGTTCCTTTGTAATAGTCATTTAATAAATCACATTAGGCAAACAGTAATACTTCCTCATTTTGTAGTTTCCCCTGCAAGAACACATCTGACCCATCTGCTCATAACAAGTGTTAAATTCACAATATTTCAAGTTGATGAGTTCCTGTGAAGTAGGTCCAAATGTCTTTGGATCCAATATGTGCTGATAAATCAGCTAAACATTCTGCATCATTTTAAAAAAGCTGTAAATCCCCATCTTACATAATGTGCTGATACAGGTTTCCATCAGCTGTGAACATACAGGCCGACCAGAATAGTTGAGCTGCCAAGATCTATTCTTCACTGGATCACCATCATTCTGCAAAAGTGCTGGACTGAGGAGAGGATTTCCTGAAGGATTTGGATCCTTCTGCATCAACTGCTGCAGGGAAGACATTGCATATGTGTGAACAATGCAATTTTCATGTGAGTGCTAGCAGTTGAACTGGATTACAGGAATACAGAACACTTCACTCCTCTAGCAAGAGACCTAACATGTCTGAAGTTTTTAAATGCCATTGGTGCACACTTTGTCTAAGCTTGAAAATAATTCTAATCATAGCTAAGGAGTTGAGTCTCCTAGATATGTGATTTTAAGCTAAATGCATTTATCATCAATAAACAAAAGGTAGTATGTCATCATCATGAGATGAGGCAGAGGAAGAGCGGGTCGTCCCCTAATCAGAAGGTTGTGGGTTCGATCCCAGGCTCCTCCTGCCACGCGTCTGTGTTGATTTTCAGTGGGCTATCTGAAGGTTGTAGAAAACCAAATGTAAGAAAGTTTACATTCATTAATTAAGAGTCATTTGAATTAAAGACCTGTTTAAAATCAACCTCAGGAGACATTCACTAGGCCACTTATATGTGTAAAGATGTTAAATTGGACTTTGCACTCGAAATAAGTTGGGTGACCACCGACCAGTTTGATCTTACCATCCTGTATGTGTTAGTGAATCAGAATCATTCTAAATTGAGAGGTGCATGCCCACCATTTGCAATTATCATACTGCTATTTCTCTATATAAGGAAATACGTTTGCCTACAGGTGTACCATGGAGAAAGTGTTGAATAAATCCAGCTTTATTTATATAGCACCTTTCAAACAAATGAAATGCAATACAAAATAATAAAATAATAAAGATAATATAAATGTTATTATTAAATGTTAAATTTAAAAACATTTGTTTATATTTACAGATATCAATATTTTCAGCTCCTCAAGAGAGAAGCATGATCTCTAATGCAAAAAAGCAAAGTAACTTGAAACAATATTGTGTCCAAAGTGGAAGCCAGAAAACATGCTCAATGATAGGTAACGAATGGTAGCAAAGAAAATAGGTAGGCTAATTGCGGGACGTGAATTCCAGGGGCCTCATGTATAAACATTCTGTACGCACAAAAAGGTTGCGTACGTTAGTTTTCATGCACATGGTGGAATGTATAAAAATTAACGTGATGTGAGAATGAGCATGCCATGGCGCAAACTCTTGTCTGGCTTTATAACTTGGAGATTTCAAATGTCAAAGTACTGACACAATCCAGATGTTTCTAAATAAAGTTTCCCACAGTTACTGTGATATGTCTATGAAAACCCATGATTATGTCCACTGATACACCTTGACAGTTTCTGTTCAACATCAGAAAGACCAAAATGCTATTTTTCCCACCACCCATTGTCCTAAATATGCGTCCTAAATATGCGCCCCCCGGCTAATTTCACGCGGATGAAATGCCTTCATCAATGTGCTAACGAGCTCTATCAAAATCGCCAGGGAAAACAGCAATTTTCTCTTTAGCCTCTGCCACATGAGCTGTGGATCAATGAACCCAACCCGGCCCCACCAAAGACGAGTGCAACAGTTAGCTAGGAGTAATGTACATGTCTGAGTCGCCCTCACATGCAGGCAGGATGCCAGAGGTGAGGGCTTCTAATTGCAGTGACCCTTCTTTCATGTGGCGTCACTTCTGTATTTCCTGAGCCCACACCTGTAGCAGCGACACTCAATATGCAGTCACTCGCCTTTCACCTTGATCTTGATATCTGACCATTTTTCTTTATTCTGCCATTGTACAGTTCTCTGAACCGGCTGCATTGACCACTTGTTACTCTCTGCCACATTTTTTCCTGGCCTCTACCTCAGTGATCAGTAACCTCGATCTCACAGTCAGTGAAGTTTTTCTTCTTTCCTTGATTTGCAGAAGTTTTGGCCATTGCGATTTTGGACAGAATATGACAACAGGGCCGTATTTCCAGTCATTTGCATTGTAATTTAAGGGAGGAGGCAAGGTGGGTAAAGTAGCTTGTTCATGTGTGGTAAATTTCACCTTGATTGGGATGTATAAAGATGCGCAGGACCTGGCATTAGCCTGGTTTTATACATGTGGAAATTTCTTTGCATAGGTACTTTATAAGTTTTGTGAGTAGGCCTTCTTTCAGTGTGAAAGCTGTGCAGTCTTTTATACAGTTGTGTTTGGTAAAGCTTATTTCACTGCTAACTGAGTAACCTTTTAAAGACTTAACGATGCACTGTAGTTCATCAACCCACAGAGATATTGTGATGTCCTTGGACAGTGGATTATATTGCTTTTTCATTGGTTAACTTTTGGATGAAAGCCAGCTGCAGGGTAAGAGAAGGTGACAAATTCTATAGGTTACTCATATCATTCCTGAGAGTACCAAAGCAAGTGCACTTACACTGCCTGCAGTATTGATTACAGAGGTTGGTATTGGACAGTCAGAGATTAGAATGGACCTTTGCTGTCTAAGGTTAAGATTGCTAAAGCAAGGGCAGTCCAAAAAGAAGATGATTCTGAAGAAAAGTTCTGCAGTACTACATTCTTCTGTAAGAGAAGATTTGTCTGAAAATTATGATCATTACTTGTTGGCCTACACTCAGTAAACTACAGCCAAGATGTCTTTAGGCAACAGAGCCCAGCATACAGCAAGAATAGATTTTGAACCAATGAAACATGCTAATTTGTCAGAGGCAGAGCTGAGACAGAAATCATCAAACTAATCAATTAGGTCCAGGATGCAACATTGAGAGGGAATTAATGGCAGAAATGGAATATAATATTCATAGATGTGTTTTCATTTGTGTA